GGGGTGGAGGGGATGATGGATGAGCAGATCAGAGGCAGGAGTGGAGGACAGCCTGCAGCAGATGGGACAGGCCAGACAACTGCCCTCCTCCCAGGGCACTGACAAGCACATGCCGTCAATACTGCCACCACCCAGGGCCCTGCGATCACACTGGGCTGAGGGCCAGGAGGATGCTCCCACCATCTTTCAGATGGGAAGTCAGAGGCAAGAAGACAGAGGGGAGGAAGTTTTCTCCTGGGGACCCAGCCCCCCTGCCACTCCCCCCACGCCACTCCCCTCCCACCACTCCCCCCACGCGGTCCCACCTGACAGGCTGCTGGGACTCATCTGCTGCGTCAGGATGGCCTTGAGCTTCTTGATCTCCTCCTGGTACTCGCGAAGCAGTGCATCCTTGGGGTCCTCGTTGATGTGCGGCTTGTTCCTGATGTTTTTGGCCCGGTTGGCGTAGCGCAGCGTGCTGAGTGTCTCATCGTAATTGTTGTCCGCAGGCGACAGGCAGGCCACCATCAGCGTCTTGGTGTTGCCACCCAGTGAGTCCTGCAGCAGCCGTGTCAGCTTCGAGTCCCGGTAGGGGATGTGCTTACAGCGCCCGTCCACCAGCGCCGAGATGACGTTGCCCAGCGCCGACAGCGACAGGTTGATCTTGGTGGCCTCCTTGAGCCGCTCGCCAGTGGCCCCGGTCTTGGACTGCCGCTCGCTGCCCGCCAGGTCCACCAGGTTCAGCTTGCCCGCCCGGAGATGGTCCTTGCCCCACTCATCTGCGGACAGACCAAGCAGCGGGGTGAGGGCCTTGGTGAGCCCCATGTATCAAGGGCAATCAGCACCAGGCACGGGGTGCTCACCATCACCCACCGAGGGTTTCCCCTCAGCTGCAAGGAAGCCCCAGGAAGCGGGTGCTATTGTTTTATTATTTTTTGAGACAGAGTCTTGATCTGTCACCCAGGCTGGAGTGCGATGGCGCAATCTCCTGCCTCAGCCTCCCGAGTAGCTGGGATTACAGGCACCCGCCAGTACGCCCGGCTAATGTTTGTATTCTTAGTACAGGCAGGTTTCATATTACTCAGGCTGGTCTTGAACTCCTGACTTCAGGAGATCCACCCACCTCAGCCTCCCTAAGTGCTGAGATTACAGGTGTGAGCCACTGCACCCAGCCTGCAAGTGCTATCATTGTGCTCATCTTACAGATGGGTAGACTGAGGCTCAGAGAGGACATGGAACTTGCCCAAGGTCACACAGCTGCTAAGAGCTGTAGCCACCATCAGAACCCAGGGCAGGCTGCCTCCAGGAGAAGGGGCTGGAGCTGCAGACCATTCTGGGTGCAACAGGGCTCCTTCTGGCTGCCACAGCTGCTCTCAAAGGCTTCCTGCAAGGTCAAAGGTGGAGAAGGCAGGGGTGCAGCTGGACCACCAAGGAGTTATGTCCTTCGATGCAGAAAACATCTGCTTTGGAGACTCCCTGGCCCAGTTCCCAACCCAGTCCTGTCTTCTCCTTGCTGCGTGGCACTAGCAGGGCCACCTACCTCTGGAGTCTCAATTCCCCACATCAACAAAATCTGACTAACAATGGCTCCCCATTAGGGTCTGTTTGTGCGACACAGCAGCAGATGTGAGAAGCCACGTTTGCTCTTTTCCACTTGCCAGCATCATCAGCTCACAAAGCCGCTGCCTCTGTGCTGACGTGCAGGGCTGTGCAGAGCTCCGCAGAGATGCTTTGAAGACAAAACAGGATGGAGCTGACGGTCCCCCCCATCCGTCTCTCGCCTGAGTCACTGCATGGCTGAAAGACAGATCGAGGCCTTGCCTTTTCCTACACGTGAGCTAATGTCGGCTGGGGCTGGTGAGGAAGCCTCTGAGTCTATCACTGGATGTGCTCTTGCACAAACCCTGATGTGACTCTTCTTTGTAACTTCTGAGCATGTCAGGTGTGATTCTGCAGGTGCCAACTCTTCACCACCTATATGTAAACTGCGAACTGAAATACGGACAGAACCACTTCTGGGTATAGACCTCAGTCTACGATTCTCAGTAGGACTTCTCTTTTTTTCCTTTGAGACAGGGTCTCACTCTGTCGCCCACGCTGGAGCGCAGTGGTGCGAACCTAGCTCACTAGAGCCTCGAACTCCTGGCTCAGAAAATCCTCCCGCTTCAGTCTCCTGAGTAGCTGGGACCACAGGCATACATCACCATGCCCAGCTAATATTTTTTTTTTTAGAGATGGGGTGGCCCTATGTTGCCCAGGCTGGTCTCGAACTCCTGGCCTCAAGTGATCCTCCCACCTTGGCCTCGCAAAGTGCTGGGATTACAGGCCTGAGCCACTGTGCCCAGCCCAATTGATTTTTCTTTAGTTGACAGGTTGGTGCTCTGGAGAAGTAAAGCAAACGGACGGCGTATTCACACAGGGGCTCTGCTGGGCCGGCACACGGCGGGTGTTCATTTCCCCTGAGAACAAACCCCGCTTCTGCAGCGACTGCAGCTGTCCTGGCTGGGCAGCCCTGGGCATCAAGGATGGCAGGGGAGCCAGGCACGGGTTGGTAGCATTGGCTCAGAAGACCAGGTTTTTTTCTTTTGGCTTGTTTTTGAGATGGAGTCTCACTCTGTCGCCCAGACTGGAATGGCGCCATCTCGGCTCACTGCAGCCTCTGCCTCTGGGGTTCAAGTGATTCTCCTGCCTGAGCCTTCTGGGTGGCTGGGATTACAGGCAGACGCCACCACACCCAGCTGGTTCTTTACGCTATTAGAAAAACAACAGGCTGGCAAGGTGGCTCATACCTGTAATCCCGGCATTTTGGGAGGCCAAGGTGGGTGGATCACCTGAGATCAGGAGTTCAAGACCAGCCTGGCCAACATGGTGAAACCCCATCTTTACTAAAAATACAAAAATTAGCTGGGCGTGGTGGCACATGCCTGTAATCCCAGCTACTCGAAAGACTGAGGCACGAGAATTGCTTGAACCCAGGATGCAGAGGTTGCAGTGAGCCGAGGTCATACCACTGCACTTCAGCCTGGGCGACAGAGCGAGACTCTGTCTCAAAAACAACAAAAACAAAAGGCCAGGGGCAGTGGCCCACACCCATAATCCCAGCACTTTGGGAGACGGGCGAATTGCTTAATCCCAGGAGTTCAAGACCAGCCTGGGCAACATGGCGAAACTCCATTTGTACAAAAGAACACAAAAATTAGCCAGGTGTGGTGGTGCATGCCTGTGGTCTCAGCTACTTCAAAGGCTGAGGTGGGAGGATCAACCAAGCCTGCAGTGGAGGTTAAGGCTGCAGTGAGCTGTGATCACGCCACTGCACTCTAGCCTGGGCAACAGAATAAAACCCTTTAAAAAAAAAAAAAAAAAAAAAAAAAACCCACCAAAAACAGCTGGGTGTTTGGTGTCGTGTGCCTGTGGTCCCAGCCACTCAGGAAGCTGAGGCAGGAGGGATGCTTGAGCCAGAAGTTCAAGGCTGCAGTGAGCTATGATTGCACCACCGCACTCCAGCCTAGGTGGCAGAGTGAGACACTGTCTCTAAGAAAAGGACTGGAAGGAACTTGGAGTCGCCCATTTGGGAAGCTCTGTGCAGCACGGACCAGGGGCCTTAGCTGCATTTCTCATCTTTGCTCTAGGACCCATTCCAGGGAACCGAGTCTGAGGAGATGACTCTCAGACGAGAGAAAGGTTTGTGCACACGGATGTCCATCATGGCATGACTTCCGGCACTGGGAAACTGGGAACCACTGGTTGCAGACTGGTTGGAAAAGGGCAGGATCCAAGCCACCACACATGGTCATGAAGACACGATGACAGTAAAGCAGAAATGCTCAGTGACGGCAAGGGACATGAAACCGGGGGAAACCTACATGGCATAAGATTTCAGTTGTGTTTGAAACTTTCAAAGGAAAAAAAAGGATCAAAAGAAAATATGGGCTGCGTACAATGGCTCACGCCTGTAATCCCAGCAGTTTGGAAGGCGGAGGTGGATTGCTTGAGTCCAGGAGTTCGAGACCAGCCTGGGCAACACGGCAAAGCCCTGTCTCTACAAAACAGAAAAGTTACCTGGGTGTGGTGGTGCGTGACTGTAGTTCCAAGCTACTCGGGAGGCTGAGGTGAAAGGGTTGGTTGAGTCTGGGAGGCCGAGGTTGCAGTGATCTGAGATTGTACCACTGCACTCCAGCCTGGGCAACAGAGCAAGGCAGTGCCTTATAAATAAATAAATACAAATTATTTATATTACATACGTACACACGTTGGTTTGTTTTTTTTTTTTTAAAGGCCAGGCGCAGTGGCTCACACTTGTAATCCCAGCACTTGGGGAGGCCGAGGCAGATGGATCACTTGAAGCCAGGAGTTTGAGACCAGCCTGGCCAACATTTTTAGCAGAGACCAAACCTTGTCTCTACTAAAAATACAAAAATTAGCTTAGTGTGGTGGCGCATGTCTGTGATTCCCAGCTGCTCACAAGGCTAAGGAAAGAGAATCACTCGAACCTGAGAGGTGGAGGTTGTAATGAGCCGAGATTGTGCCACTGCACTCCAGCCTGGGCAACAGAGCTGTCTTAAAAAAAAAAAAAAAAAAAAAAAAAAAACAGTGTGTGGATATATGTAATAAACTATATTATAAATAAGAATAATTATATAAATATAATGCTTAAATGTTAGCAGTGTTTAGATGTCAGAACCATGAGCAACTGTTCCCTACCACTCTCTACTTTCTTCCATCGTCATTGAGCTTGCATTATTATTATGATTTTTTTTTTGAGATAGAGTCTCGCTCTGTAGCCCAGGCTGGAGCGCAGTGGCACGATCTTGGCTCTCTGCAACCTGCGCCTCCTGGGTCCCAGTTCAAGCAATTCTCCTACCTCAGCTTCCCAAGTAGCTGGGATTACAGGCACGAGCCACCATGCCCAGCTAATTTTTGTATTTTTTAGTAGAGATGGGGTTTCACCATGTTGGCCAGTCTGGTCTTGAACTCCTGACTTCGTGATCTGCCTGCCTTGGCCTCCCAAAGTGCTGAGATTATAGGCATGAGCCACTGCGCCCGGCCGAGCTTGCATTATTTTATAAAGTGAATGTGCAGCCAGCCTGCCTCATCCTTCAGACCCTCTTGCAAAGACCAAGAGGTGCCCACCAAACCCACTCCCTCCTCCTCCCTCCTGATCTGTCCTCAGTTGCCCTGGTCTCTGCCCCTCCCCAAGCTGCAGCACTGAGGCTGTGACCACACTGTCCCACCCCTCCCCATCAGTACCCCCAGGACACTCAGAGTGATGGCCTCATACCCAAGCAAGCATTAGGGCTTGGCCCAAAGCCAGGTCATCACACCAGCTGGGCAGTGTGTCCAAGAGGTTCCATCTACCCAGGCTTTGACCCTGGGTGGTGCAGTGGTGTGATCTCAGATCACTGCAACCTCGGTCTCCCGGGCTCAAACAATCCTGTCACCTCAGCCTCCTGAATAGCTGGGACTACAGGCATGCGCCATCACACCCAGCTAATTCCTGACCCTGATCCCTGGGTCAGAGATCTCTCCGGAATTCTGTTCCCAGTTGGGCTGAGGCCACCTCCTGCTCCACTGCTCTCTGGAGTTCTAGTCATGACGGACCACAACGTGGAGGCAGCTGCAGTATTCCTGGGAAAACCCAGATATCAGGGAGACCCGGGTTCAAATCCCAGCTCCACCAATTAGCAGTGGTGAGACAATTGCTTGAACAAGCAATCACTTTGCCTCTCAGAGCCTCTGTTTCCTCATCTATAAAATGAGGATTCTAGTGCCTGTCTCTGACTGTCATGGGATTTAAATGGAATGAAGGGTATAAAGGGTTTGACACTGCAGATGGCCAATAGGGGCCCCAAAATAAACTTGGGTTTCTTTCCTTCCTCTTCTCTTTCTCAGCAGCTCTTCCGGAAAAAAAATAATATTGAGATGACTGAGGAGCAGAGAATGTTAGAGAGAGAGGAGAATCCACGAGGTCTGTGTGATACACACTCTGGAGGAAGAACCCAGGATGGAAGCCAGGCTCTGACACTAGTTCCTAGTTGGATGACCTCGATTTCTTCATCTGTAAAATGGGGATGATTCAGTATCTACCTCATGGGAGTGCTGTAGGAGTAAGTATTGCAGGAGTAATGCATTGTCGGGCACACTGGCGGGGCGCGCTGGCTCACACCTGTAATCCGAGCACTTTGGGAGGCCAAGGTGGGAGGATCGCTTGAGCTCAGTTCAAGATGAACCTGGGCAACATAGCAAGACCCTATTTCTACAAAAAATCAGCCGGGCATGGTGGTGTGCCTGTAGTCCCAGCTGCTCAGGAGGCTGAAGTGGGAGGATCACCCAATCCTGGGAGGCAGAGGTTGCAGTGAGCCAAGATCACCACTGCACTCCAGCCCGGGTGACAGAGTGAGACCTTGTCTCAAAAATAAATAAATAAAAAAAACTGGTCTGGCACACAGTAGGCACTCAGTGTTGGCTACCAGTGTTCCATTGTTGCTGCTGTGTATCCTGGGAGCTCGGGTCCCAGAATCCCAAGGACCCTCTTGGCTTTCCTCTAGGCAGTTAGAGCGTCTCTACCCACTTTCCAGGGGGGCTCTCGCGGCCCTGAGAGGTGGCGTGCCTTGGCTAGTGGGAGTGAAAGTATGGCTGGGTCATCTGTCCACGCCCTATCCACCCCCCGCAGCGGCCTCACGTACCCAAGGCAGAGATCTCGATGTTGATGGTGAAGATGGAGTGGGAGCGTGAGGAATCCTTGTTCATCAGCGTGTAGCCGACAGAGCGGTTCTTCCAGCCGGCCTCCATGATGCGCTCGCACTGGGCCACGCTGTGCACCGTGTGCATGGACAGCCCCTTCACGTACACACCCTTCTCCGGGTGCTCCTTCAGCTGAGGGAAGAGCAATTGGTGAGGGGTGGAACCTCCAGCCTCCAAGGGTTCGGGCTAGGGATAGTCAAGGAACCAGAGAGAAGGGCCCCATCCAGACTGCCCTTGCCCTCCTGCAGTGCAGGCCAGCACCTCATGCGCCTGTCACAGGGAGGGGTGCGTTCCAGGCCTCACCAACCTCAAACCTACCCCTGCCTCCTACTTGCTGTGGGACCTTCAGCCAGTGACAACCTAAGCCTCAGTTTCCACATCTCCAAAATGGGCATGAGACAGCTACCTCATAGGGATATGGTGAGGAATCCGTAAAATAAGGCACATACAATGCTTAGCATGGTGCCCAGCACCTAAGTGCCCATAGATGCCAGCCACTGTCTGTGCTGTTGTCGTGAGTGCTATGATCACAAAGGCAGTTTTCTGTTTGGGAGCTTCAGATCTCAGGGGCTGACCCTGTCATCGCCCACGGGCCCTGAGCACCATCTCCCTTCACCCTGATGACAGGGCTCCAGATCCCCTCTGCCTCGGCTCTAGAACCACGGGAATGTCCCCAAACCCTCAGATCACAGGTGAACGGCCACTCGTTGCCCAGAACGCCTGCAGGCTCGCAGCTCAGAGGCCCCCAGCCCTCAGGGCAGTGGCAGCAGTAAATTAATTTATCTGATGGCTCCCTGCTGGCTTTCCAGCCAGCCAAGTCACTTAGTTGCTGACACAGAGCTGTGAAACGCAGTATTTTTCAAGTGTGAGAGGAAATAAAACCACTCTGTCACAAGAGCAGAATGAATGAGGACAAAGGAATTTGTCTGCCAAGTGGCCCTGCAGGTTGGAGCCACCCGAGGCTCAGCTGCGGGCAGCTTTGTGGGGGTTCCAGGTGGGCTCAGGCCCCTGCTGTGGGAGGGGCGTGGGTGGGGGTCAGGGGACAGGCACAGGCTGGTCCTATCTGCTCAAGCATGGAGAAACAGCCAAGCCCCACCAACGGACTGGGCTTCATGAAACAGATGAGCAACTGACGCCCAGAAAGGGGAGGCGACTTGCTGAAGGTCACAGCTGTTAGTAGGGTCACAGCTGATGGAAGTCTCCAGGGCAGGGTAAGAGAGAGGCGGGAGCATCCTGCAGTGACTGAAGCTTGAGATGACAGAGGGCGGGTCTTGGCCCAGGCTAAAGGTAAGGAGGGAGCCCAGAGGATGGAGGGCGTGTGGCCCGGGGGCACCCTGCACGGCTGCTCCAGGTGGAAACCCATTCTCAGGCTTGCTGATTGGGGAGGTTCATTTGTCTTTCTAGGCCTCAATTTTCTCTTCTGTAAAATGGGGATGATAACTCCTATTTCTACAAGATTATTATGACTATTGGGAAGAGAACAGATCTAAAGAAAAGTTCTGTGGGTACTTAGTGGGGGCTCGGTGAACAGAGGTCACAAAGAGGACGAAGTCGCTGTCTGAGGCCTGAGCAATCCAGGACACAAACCCTGACCCAAGGGGACTCCTGCCATGATATTTTCAGGCCCAGGAAGGCTCCCTGTTCCCAACCTTGTGATGGCCTCAGGGGTCCTCCCCCCACCTCGTTCCCAACCCCACTCCACCCCTGATGCCTGGGGAGGTGCTGAGTGACAGCCCCCAGCTGCGCACCAGGCTCCTTGGTAACTGCTCATCTCTGCTGCAGAGGCCAGAACCAGGTCACCATGGCAACCAGCTGGGATGCGGCAAGGATGAGACAGGGGCACATGGCAGGAACGTGTCCGTGGCTGCCATGGGGAGGGGAGCCTTTGACACTTTGCCCAGACATGGGTAGGGAGAACCCACTGGAGAGACCCCCTCAGGGGTCACCAGATCAGGGTGACAGTAGTTTATAGTGGCTGGGGGAGTGGTGGAACTCTGCTTCTCCAAACTGCTTGCTGCCCTGAGGTGATGTAATAACCTCTGATTATAACCACCATCAGGCCCAGCGTTAAACATGGGTTAACAGAGTGTGTTATGGAGTCCCCGGATTCAAATCCCAACTTTACTCTTTTTTTCTTTTTTGAGACGAAGCCTCGCTCTGTCTCCCAGGCTAGAGTGCAGTGGTGTGATCTTGGCTCACCGCAACCTCCGCCTCCCGGGTTCAAGCAATTCTCTGCCTCAGCCTCCTGAGTAGTTGGGATTACAGGAGCCTGCCACCATGCCCACCTAATTCTTATATTTTAGTAGAGATGGGGTTTCACCATGTTAGCCAGGCTGCTCTTGAATTCCTGCCCTCGTGATCCTCCCACCTCAGCCTCCCAAGTGCTGGGATTACAGGCGTGAGCTACTGCGCCTGGCCCATCTTCATGCTTTACTGACTGTGTGTTCTTGGGCTGGTCTTACTTAAGCACATAGAGCCTCGGTTTCCTCATCTGTGATAAAGGATAAAAACGGTGCCTCCTCCTGGGGCGGCCAGGGGGTTTACATGAGAGCCATCTGCACATCCTCCACGAGGGAGCATGTCAAAAGCCCAGTGACCCCAGAGAGTTTCAGGGAGCGCATCTGTCACTGCAGCCCCCAAGGCACCTGGCCCAATAGGCCTGAGGCCCGTGGCTAAGCTGCACCGAGTGCCCATGGCTGCCAGCCTTAGCCCCTCTAGGCCCGGGTTACTGAGGCCTTTCTAGGGTCCAGGGCAGTGAGGAAGGGAAGGAGGGCTCCCTGCTGCTCCAGTGCAGGCTAGCGGAAGGCTCGCAGGGGGCCAGGGGGCCCTAACCCCACAGCCTGGCCTTCTGGGGCTGTCATGTGGGAGCAACACCCTCTGCTGCCTCCTGTCTCTGCTTCCCTGTCTGGGGGCTCAGCTATGATTCAGCTACACCAGGAGAGAGAAGGCAATAGAGAAACTCCAGGTGGGAGGTTGGAGGATCCTGCATGAAAAACACCAAGCGGCTGGATGCCTGTGGTCGTGCCTGCCTGTAGTCCCAGCTACTGGGGCGGGAAGGGGGCTGAGGCGGAAGACTCAAGGCCAGGAGTTTGAGGCCAGCCAGGGCAACAAAGTGAGACCTCGTCTCCAAAAAATATATACATTGTTTTAAGACGGAGTCTCGCTGCATTGCCCAGGCTGGAGTGCAGTAGCACAATCTCAGCTTAGTGCAGCCTCTACCTCCTGGGCTCAAGTGATTCTCCTGCCTCAGCCTCCCCCAGGGACTACAGGCGTGCACCACCACGCCCAGATAGTTTTTGTATTTTTAGTAGAGATGGGGTTTCACCATGTTGGCCAGGCTAGTCTCAAACTCCTGACCTCAAGTGATCCACCCGCCTCAGCCTCCCGAAGTGTAGGATTACAGTGTGAGCCACCATGCCCGGCCTTAAAAAATTCTTTTTCATTAAAAAAAAAAAGTCCTGACTCTAGTCTCCCAGTGCCGGCACCCTCAAGACACCTTCCCGTATTTCTGAGGGAGCAGCACCCAATGCCAACCTCCCCGCTTCCAGCCCCACCTGCCCACACTGGGTCTGCACCCACCTCCAGCCTCTGCTTGGTATCAGCCCCCAGGAGGTCCCGGACATCTTCATTGTAGATCTCCAGGTAGGAGGCCCGGACCAGGAACTTGGTGTTCTCTGCACACTGCAGGGAGTACACAGAAACAGACATCAGAGCTCTGAGGCGACCTGCTGCCAGGCCTGACACTGGGACCTGTCCCTCTGCCGCCAGGATATCATGGGAGAAGAAGGGAAGTCAGGGCCAGAGGAGTCCCCAATCCCACCTGCCCTGCTGGCCCTCCTAGCAAGCTCAATCCTCGTCTCCAGCCTGGTGGGTGCTCAGGCCTCTTTGAGTTGCATAATCCTCATACTGCTCGCTAATGCTTTGTCTAGAATCCTCATGGGAAAGGAAACAGAGGCCTCCGCGTTATTCAGGTAAAGAGGAAAAAAAAAAAAACCCTGGTCAGCCTGGTGGCTCACACCTGTAATCCCAGCACTTTGGGAGGCCGAGGCAGGCAAATCACTTGAGGCCAGGAGTTCAAGACCAGTCTGGCCAACATGGTGAAACTGTCTCTACTAAAAGTACAAAAATTAGCCAGGTATGGTGCTGGGCACCTGTAATTTCAGCTACTTGGGAGGCTGGGGCAGGAGAATCGCTTGAATCTGGGAGGCAGAGGTTGTAGTGAGCCAAGACCACACCATTACAGTCCAGCCTGGGTGACAGAACAAGACTCTGTCTCAAAAAACCTGAGGCCACAGGGAAGGCCTGGGGTAAGCACCGGCTCTGGGCTGGTCCCTGGCAGCTCTCCGAGGCCTTACATGTTGCTGTGGCCACCATGATGAGTCCCGGGAGCGGCACAGTGGGCTCTGCAGCTGCCCAGGGTCACTTTCCCCACTCCACCATTCCCTGTGCACTGCCGAAGATGGTCAACAGGCAACTCTCACCTGCAGCCTGGATGCTGGGATGAATTCAGAGTCCAGTCTCATCTTGGCCCATAAAGGCTCAGAGTCTCAACCTCCCTCTCTCAAAAATGGGGCTACCAGCTACCTACTGGGTCAGGCTAGAGATTCAGTGAGGTAAGGATGCCAAGGGCTTTGCACACGACTTGGTCCATAACAATTGCTCAATAAAGAGGGGAAGCTGTGATTGTTACAACCCCTTCCCCCCACCGCCGTGCATAGGGTCAGCAGAACCACAGGAAATGCTGAACTAAGGGTCAGAACCCAACAATGATGGAAGAAAAGCATGGACAGAATTTTCTCTGTTTTAAGTGTTTTCCCCCCACCTTTTCAGAACCTGGGGCCTTCTCTGCTGATGTGCGTGGGGTCAGGCCAGGCTCCGATCACTTCCCGTGTCCCTGCCACCCGTCAGAAGTGCTCTGGGGCCCAGCTGCAGCTCTGGCCCTGCCCCTGCCCTCCGTGAAGCCCACACCTGGACACTCTCGAACACGTGCTCGAAGGCCCTGGGGATGATGCCTCTCTGGGAGGGCGGGTCCAGCAGGCCCTGCATGGTGAAGGACTTCCCGCTGCCTGTCTGACCGTAGGCAAAGATGGTGCCATTGTAGCCCTCAGTGACGCCCTGCATGGGAGGAAGACAGGACCCCGTGCTCAGCAGACCAGGCACAGCAGGGCTCGGGCAGGGCCCCCTAACTCACCAACTCGGAGCCCTCCCTGGTCCCCCCACCAACAATGGCACTGGAGTGTGGACATAAACAAGGCCCAGCTCTGTCTCAAGGAGTTGACTGTCTGGTGGGGTAGGAGCTGTCCTTGTCCCCTGTGCTGTGGGCATGGCCCCCTGGGCCCACATCCATCTCCACCTTTACTGACTGTGCACCCTTGGGGTGGCCTCACTGAGGCACATTGATAAGATGATAAGAACACCACCTTAGGCCGAGCACGGTGGCTCATGCCTGTAATCCCAGCACTTTGGGAGACCTGAGCTGAGGGGTTTGAGACCAGCCTGGACAACATGGTAAAACCCTGTCTCTACAAAAAATACAAAAAATTAGCTGGGCATGGTGATGTGCACCTGTAGTCCCAGCTACTCAGGGGGCTGAGGCAGGAGAATTGCTTGAGCCCAGGAGGTGGAGGTTGCAGTGAGCCGAGATCATGCCATTGCACTCCAGCCTGGGTGAGAATGAAACTCTGACTCAAAAAACAAACCAAAAACTCCGACACCTTAAAGGGTAAGACTGGCACCTCCTATGAGGCTCCTGCAGGGTATGAATGGGGTTATTTTGTGCATTGGCACAGGAAGTGCCGCCACACACAGGTGCTCCATCTGCCTACAGTGCAGGGAGCCGGACCGCACAGGTGACTCTCATGGCAGGCTACGGGGCGAGGCACACAGCCACAGGAGTCCAGGCAGCAAGCAGGGAGGGGAAGTGCAAAGACGGGAAAACAGAACAGTGTGGAAAGAATGAAGCACAGCTTTCCAGGTGGCAAAGACAGGGAGAACTGGAAGCTGGGAGTGGGGCTCATACTTTGCCAGGTGACAGACGAGGGAGGCATTCCAGGCTGAGAGGATAGCTTAAATAAAGCCACACAGGTGAGGTGTGGAGAGCAGGAGGGACGGGGAGTGGTGGAAGATGAGGCCTGGAGGGAAGAAAAGAGGCAAACCTGGTGCCGTTTCCAGTCACTCTTCATTCATCGCTGTTTCTACCCATTGGACAGGGCCTGACCATGCTCAGTCTAGGGACAAAGTGGTGAACGAGGCGGACACAGTCCCTGCCCTTGCAGAGCTCACGAGCTCCCAAAGTCTAGAACTTAGTATGGGCTTGGGTGGGTCCTGTGTGGGCAGATCGGCCTAGAGAACTGAGACCCCCAAAGGCCCACATGGCATCTATGCCCAGTTTCACTGCAAAGACCCACGCTGTAACCCAAACAGGGCTGGGTGTGCCCCAACCTGCCAGTGAGGGAAGATGAAAAGTCACCATTCAGCAGGACGTGGTGTTTCATGCCTGTAATCCCAGCACTTTGGGAGGCCAAGACGGGTGGACCACTTGAGGTTAGGAGTTTGAGACCAGACTGGCCAACATGGTGAAACGCCGTCTCTACTAAAAATACAAAAATTAGCCGGGCGTGATGGCACACGTCTGTAATCCCAGCTGCTTGGGAGGCTGAGGCACAAGAATCGCTTGTACCCAGGAGGCGGTGGCGCTGGGGACAGTGCAGACCCGGAGGCGACACTAGATGCAGGCTCGGGTGTGTCCCGCCTGGACAAAAGCCTCCGGACCCACCTATTGCTGCCAGCCCGTGCCCCTCGAGGGCCTTTCCGCCCAGCTGGGGAGGCAGCACCGCCCGCTAGGGACCCTCGGGGAGGCCCGATGCCCTGCCGTCTGGAGGGCGGCCTGCTGGGCGCCCTCACCTCCACCAGCGGGTAGGCGATCTCGTTGTAGATCTGCTCGGTGACGTGGTCCACGTGGTAGGCGCCGTCGAAGGTGAACTGCTTGGGCGGCTCGTCGGCGGCGCGCGGGTTCTGGATGCAGCACTGGCCGCGCGCGCAGTCCACAGCCACCACCGGCTGGCAGCGCAGCTCCCGCTCCCGCTGGTTCATGGGGCGGCAGCGCACGACCACCTTCACCGCCTCGGAGGCCATGGCGCCGCGCCCGGAAGCCCCCGGGCCAGAGCCGACCCCCGCCCCGCCGGGGACCCCGGACCGCCCGGGCCAAGGGGCGGGGCCAGCGCCGGCCACCGGGGCCGGAGCCTTGCGGCGGGGGCGGGGCCACGGCGGGGGGCGGGGACTCCTCGGGGGGCGCCCTGAGGGGAGCGGGGAGTCGCAGGACCCGAGCCGGGGACGCCGCCTCGTCCCGCGCCCGGACCCACCCGTCCCTGAGGCCCAGCCCGGGCGAGGACGTGGGGAATCCGCGCTGCAGGCGCCGCGGCCGCCGCAGGACCCGAGCCCGGAGCCGCCCCACCCGCCAGCCCGCGCGCTCAACGCCGCGGCGTTCGTGGTTGCTGGGCAACGCTCGTGGCGTCACAGGTGCGGCCCCGAGAACGCGCGGCCCAGCATCGGACTTCGCTCGAGTGATCCCTGGGCAGACACGCGCGGCCACCTGCGGGAAGGGCTAGCCTTGGCTGGGTTCCTTTCGCGTCCGCTATCTTCTAGAATCCGCGAAGCCCGGGTTCAGAGAGGTTACGCAGCTTGCCGGAGGCTGTGGCTAAGACTAGGAGCCCAGGCTTGACTCCACCTCAGGGCTAAAGAAATCCCAGGCCTCACGCACGGTCCAGGGACCCACTGAGAAAAGCTGCAAGGACCTGTTACCCATTATCCACGTCCCCGAACTGGCTCAGGGAAAGGCTGCCCACAATCCACAGCCCCTGGACAGCTTCTTCTCATTATTTCTAAGCGTCCCCTTGTTATTTCTAAGACGCGAGATTGTAAAACACTTTAGAAACCAAGTATTTTGGGCCAGGCGCGGTGGTTCACGCCTGGAAGGCCTAGGCGGGTGGATCACCTGTCGTTAGGAGTTCGAGACCAGCCTGGCCAATATGGAGAAACCCCTTCTCTACTAAAAAAACAAAAAATTAGCCGGGGGTGGTGGTACATGCCTGTAATCCTAGCTACTCGGAAGTCTGAGGAAGTCTAAGGCGGGAGAATCACTTGAACCCAGGAGGCAGAGGTTGCAGTGAGCAGATATCGCACCATTGCACTCCAGCCTGGGCAAAAAGAACAAAATTCCATCCAAAAAAAAAAAAAAAAAAAGCCAAGTCTTTTGGATGGAAGGCTGCCTGGCCTATCCCTCCTAGCCCAGTGCAAGTTCCCCAGCCAAAAGAGCACCTCTGTCACACCTCTAGGCTTTTCCTTGCACTAACACTGAGCGCCAGCTACGTGACAGGCACCATGACAGATGCTGGGGAGACAGCCCTCCTGGCCCATGATCTCGCTGGAGAGACAGACACAAGAAACAAAATCCCGTAAATGAAAGTGTAATTACAAACTGAAGAATCCATTCCATGCAACTTTTTTTTTTTTTAAACAGGGCCGGCCCTGTCACCCAGGCTGGACTGCAGTGGCACAATCATAGCTCACTGCTGCCTCAACCTCACTGTCTCAAGCAATCCTCCTGTCTCAGCCTCCGAGTGGCCACTTGTTTGAAGAGATGGGATCTCACTTTGTTCCCCAGCTGGTCTCCAATTTCTAGGCTCAACTGATCTTCTCACCTCAGCCTCCCAAAATGCTTGGATTATAGGCACTGCGCCTGGCCCACAGAACATCTAAAAAAAAGGAACCTCACTCAGCCCATGGGGTAGGGCAGGCATCCTGTGATTGACTGGAGCTGAAATCTGATGGCTGAGGAGTGAACAAGGTGAAGGCAGGGGAGGAGGGGGCCACCAGTCCAGTGCAGAGGTCCAGGGGCATGCTGCAGAGGCAGAAAGCAAGCCCAGGTTGCCAGTGCAGAAGGACTTGAGTCTTTGGGCCAGGTATGGTGGCTCACGCCTGTAATCCAAGCACTTTGGAGGCCAAGGCGGGTGGATCACCTGAGGTCAGGAGTTCCAAGACCAGCCTGACCAACATGGTGAAACCCCATCTTAAAAAAAAAAAAAAAAAGGACTTGAGTCTTTTTCCTATAGACATACCCACTGAAGGTTACAGCAGAAGAGGAATGTCATTTGATTGAGTCTTCCTGGCCAATTCCTTCTGAGCCTTGAGGACGGGACCTCTGGTTCACCATTCAGCACGAGCTGAAGGTATAGCTGGCAAAAACGAAACAGGGAAACGACAAAGACCTCACCCCTCGAAGGAAAGAAGTCTGTACCAGACTGAAGCAACACATTTTATTTGTTTCAAGTCCACACAGCAAGGAAAGCGGGGCTACTGAGGTGGTGCTGATTTGAACAGGGGAAACTGTGGTCTGATGAAGACATGAAAGAGTCTGCAAATGGGGGCTGAAAGCCCCGCCCGCCCTGTAACATGAGATCCATCATGCCAGCTGAAGCGATGCTGAAGTGCTTAGTGGACACTGGTCCCTTCAGTGTGGCAAACATGCCCCTGGTAGCTTCTCCACACAGGTAATTCACCAGGAAAACCAGGCCCGAGTCTGGACCAATGACCAGGTCTCCTGAAGTGCCCATCTCTGGGCTATAATCCTAGGCCCAGGACATTGCTAAAGCCCTCTCTCCTTGCCAGGGGAATGTGAGGCTGGGGCCAGCGGCTTGTCCAGGAAGGGGATGGTTCTAGTACAGGTGGCTGTCAAATAGAGTCCCAGCGTCCCACACACAGTCAGCATAAAACCAGTGCTGGCTTTCCAGGGACAAGAAGCCCCAAAGGGCAGTTTCCTTCTATCTTTTGTGACAGGATAGTTCACCTGACTTGCAAGGAAATGGCAAGGTCCCAAGCCAAGACCTGTCCTTGCTGGAGAGTTGGAGGCGGGGAACACGAGGCCTGGGCCTCTGTTCTCACCCCCCAAGTTTGCCTCCCTTCTTTCTGCTTTGGTGGCGCTGCCTACTTCCTTCCAAGCGTCAGAAATCTGTTACTTTCAAGGCACTGAACAGTTCTGCACCGCTCCCACGTGGGGAGAAGGCAGCCCCCAGGCTCAGGATGCGGCTTCTGCTTTAAGCAGAGAAGTTCATCCAAAATGAACCTGTCCTATCACTTAGTTCAGTAGATTCACATTTGTCAAGTTTGCTTACAAAGAAGGATACCTGGGTTTGTCGGTCACTGGCGGGACCACTGTCTCACACTAGAGTCGTTTCCCTGGGTCTCCCGTGGCCCGCTGAGGCCAAGCACCCCTGGCAGGGCCCACATCAGGTCCACCCTTGGACGGTTCTGCCAGTGGAGCTGGCAGGTGAGGCAGGGTGGCCCCTGGCAGCCACGGGTCAGCGCCATGTTAAGGGGAATGCCGGCATCAGACAGCCTCCCTCCCAAGGCAGACCACGGGCGGGCGAGTTGGGAAGGGCCCTGGCCACCCCTCTAAGCCTGCAGCTCACTGCCGGCCCCTGCCTGTCGAATGGCTAAAGGAAGTGAGCTGGGGTGGGGGTGTCCTGGTGATTCCTGGGGAGAGTGTGAGCCTGGGCCTCCCTTCTGAGAGAGAAGGAAGCACAGCCCTGAGGTTTGGGTGGAGCCAGCATGGAGAGCTTCGGCCTGTCTGCTGGTGCGCGTTGCTTTCTGCACACAGGAGCCCACCCCCCCCCACCGCCCCGGCGTGAGCACTGGGCACTGCTCTGTCCCTCCTGCCCTCTCTGCAGCTCCCACCCATCCTTCGCTCTCAGACACAGCCCTGCTCTGTCAGCTCAGATGGGGCTTGGCCCCAGCCTCCTGGCCACAAGCTCCACAGAGCGGTCTCTGCTCAGAGACAGGGTGGCTCCCCCAGGTCTTTGCCCAGAGTGAGAACTCACTGCTGCCTCCCCAAGCCCCCCACTCTCACTCGTCTCATGAGCTTTCTGGAGACTTCCAGTCAAGGCCCCAAGGCCTGGCCTCCTTAGGGGAGGGCCGCACCTCTGCCATGAACAGACTCCTGGCCCAGGACAAAGCGGAAGCCCAGAAGTCCCAGCATCCGAAGCCACCCGACAGCTTATCCGGCTCATGCCTGCGACTCCACCTGCCCTCCTGGAATCTCAGCGGGCCCCACGTTCTGCGAGAAGCCAGTGGTGATACCCAACCTCAGGGCGCCCCCCCCCCCCAAACGGACAGTGAAGCGATGGAGACTGCTCCAAGGGCAGGGTGACTGGATGGAACTGGCGACCAGAGGGTGCAAGATGGGCAGAGAGGCTGCTGGGGCCCCGGAGCCAGGGAGCAGCGGGGCCTGTGGGACAGGGCCCTACCTCTTAGCCCAAGCCCTGCAGCTCTGCCTCAGATTTGGCATGGCTGAGGGGCCGGAGAGTCCGGGGCGGCCTGCCTGGGGGCCCACAGTCCTGCTCCTCGTAGGTGGGATTCCGGCGGCCCATGTCGAGGGGGCAGAAGAGGCTGCGCTCAGTAACCGCGTGGTTCTCCACCAGAGCCTCTAGACTGGGGAACTCCGCCGGCAGGTGCTGGTGGAGGAAGGGGCTTCAGCTCCAGTCCCCTTCCCCAGGGCTCAGGCCAGGCACCAGCCACCTGCTCCCACAGGAGCCTGCCCACTTTAGACAGCAGCAAACGGAGCCCAGAGACTTCACATGGGCTGCCAGGGCAGAACCAGGCACCATTCCCTCTCTCTCTTCCCAGCTTGGGCGGGACTGAGAGGTTTAGCTTGGAAGTAAGGGCGCACATGTGAAAAGCCTCGCCACCCCCTCCCCTTCCGAGAAACCAGGCTGGGTGGGGCAGGACAAGACATCACACTGGAGACTCAGAGGCTGTGTGAGCTTAGGCAAGCTCCTGCCCTCTCTGAGTCAGTTTCCTCCTCTGCTAAGATGGGCTAGGATATGGGAAAGCCAGGATTCCTGCAGAAATGTTAGACATGACCCCAGCTTAAGACTCTGTTATAGGTACCTTTTGAAGCCCCCTCTGGAGAGAGGGGCCCTCAGTGACCAAGGACCTCCCTTGTCCTCCAAGAGCTTCAGGTCAGAGCAGAGCCAGAAGAGGTGGGGCAAAGTGGGCCAGCTGGGGGCGAGGCCGGCAGGGCCAATGAGGAAGGAGCGGGACGGTAGAGGCAGGATGGAATTGGATGAGGGGCGAGGCCAGAGAGAGCCAATGGGAGACAGGGATAGGGGTGAGGCTTCAGGACCTCAGCAGTGAGAAAAGGGCAGGGCAGGAAGGGGCAGGGATGGAGCAGTGATGGGGTGGAGCCCAGACCCTCTGGCCGCTGCACTCTTACCTCCACACAGTAGCGGCCCAGGTGGTTCCGGAAGACCTGGTGGGGCACCACACCGCACTGCGTGCGCACGGACAGGCACCACTGGCCGCTGGCACCCGGCTCAGGCCACAGCAAGAAGGCCCCAAGCACGTCTCTCCGTAACAGGGCCAGGGCACAGGGCCTAGGGGCACAGAGGGGACAGGGTGAAGGCAGCACTGCTCTCCTGGGCACCGGTCACAACAGCCCCTACACATCCAGGCGGCCTGCGGATTAAATGCCCTTAAACACACGGTGCGTTGGTCAGGCACAGTGGATCATGCCTGTAGTCCCAGCACATTGGAAGGCCCATGCAGGAGGATCACTTGAGCCCAGGAGTTCGAGGCTGCAGTGAGCCATGATGGTGCTACTGCACTTCAGCCTGGGCGACAGAATGAGACCCTATCTCTAAAATAAAATTTAAAAACAAAAAACAACAACAAAACCCAATATGGGGCCTGACTCAGAGTCAGCCTCATCAGAAAGAAGCTTTTAGAAGCTTAAAAGGTTTCTCCAGGGTCTGTAATTGTTGGCAATGTCAAGACAGCCTCAGGAGACAGGCTTAAAGTGCGGACGCTTAGGGGGCTGCCCTGTGCAGGTCAGGTGCTGAGGGCTCCACCTGGATGACCTCACTGACCCTCTCCACAGCCTTAAGATGAAGCTCCTTTCATTAATCCCATTTTACATTTGAGAAAACAGAGGCCCAGGGTGGTGAAGTCCCAGGCCTGAGGTCACCGAGGTTGGGAGCGCTCTGCCCAGGCACAGGAGTGTGTGCCTCAGGGACTGGGAAGCCCGCATTTCTCTGCCCACCCCAAGGAACTGGGCGTTGGACCAGGCCAGGCCCTTCCTACCTGGAGATGCCAGCGAAGGCCCAGATATTCTCTGTCAGGCTGCCCTCGCTCTCCACCAGGCATGCATGGCCCCCAGGACCCCGTGGCCAGGCCTCCCACGCAGCAGGAACTGTGGAGACCGTCAGGAGTCAGGAGAGTGGCCGAGTCCTCCTGTTCCCTTGGCCGCAGGCCTCATCACACACGGGGGTGTCCTCCCCAGCCCTCTCTGCCCTGCTCAGCAGACACATCCGCACACAGGCCTTCCGCCCGCCAGTTCTCGTCCATTCACAACTGTCTGCAGTCCCCTGTGCACAGACCCCGATGCACGCGCACGCACACACACACACACACACGCACACGAGCGCTCACGCCCACCTCTGGCTGGCCCAGGAGCACACAGGCACGGTCCTGGTGCACACAGGGCAGGGGCACTCCCACAACTCACAGGCCTCCCGAGCCGACAGCTGCAGCTGGGTCTCGTAGGTGCAGCCGCGGTAGGCCCCCGAGCGGATCACCTTGCTGCGAATGGCCTTCTTGCGCACCAGCGTGGGTGAGCAGTAGGGATTCCCCAGACGGGCATGGCGGGCACGGCCTTCCGACTCTGGCAGCTCCTTCTAAGGCACCAAGAGGGGCCCACGGGCAGGTAGGCTCAGGTCCAGCCATGTCAGGCCAAGTGAAACCCCTGCCCCTGACATGCCCCCAAACCCATACCCAGTTCCCTTGTCCACTGCCCACTCCTTGGCTGGGGTGCTGCGTACCCCACTGCCCACCAGCCCCTCTGCTGGTAGCCGCCGGAAGGAGACCAGCGCGTGAACATTCTGAGAGAGCTGATGGCGACCAAAGGGCTCCCGCACCAAGCCCCCAGAGGGACCTCCAGAACTGGACAGTGGCTTGAGAGACACCTCCCCTGTGGGCCCTGGGCAGGGCTCGGGCTGGGCCCGATCCTCAGGGTGCTGCAAGAGGTAAGCCAGCTGGAAAGAGCGGCACAGGAGCAAGTGCAGGGTCTGGACCTGGGGGAGGGAGAGAGGTGGGCTCAGTGGGAGGAGGTCTCCGTCTCCCAGGGAACTCACTGGGCCTCAACCCACCCACCATGGGTGCACACAGCCCCTTGGCTTTGGATGCTCTTCCCATTCTTCCTGGGAAAACTCCTACTTCTCCTTCAAAGCCTCACCACCATGCAGGCTCCTCCACCAGCTTCCTTTATTTATTTAATGAACACCGAGGGCCTGCTGTGCTGCAGGAAAATGGACGCTGAGCTCAGGCGCTCCTGCCCCCAGGTCCCCCCAGCCCTGCACATCGAGTCAGCACCCTCTTCCAGGAATAGCCCGGAGCCCAGGCCTGAAGTCAGAACCCGGATTCCAATCCTGGCTCTGTCATGTAGGAGCCGCTGTGTGACCCTGGGCAGAGCATGGCACCTCCCTGTGCCCCTTTGAGGAGTCAGTGAAATGGAGCACAGGAAACTCCCAGAGCAGGCCCAGTGCTGTCAGGAGCAGCGCATCCCACGTGCCACACACACCGTCCAGGCCCAACGTGTTAGAACCCTGAGTGTCAGAAGATCAGGGACCACATCTCAGCTACCTATCACCCCAGTATCCAGCACAGGGATGGATATACAGGATGACAGCAAACGCTTGCTGGACAGAACCAAACCCAGCATCTGCCTGCCGCGCCTGGCCGCCGAGGCTCTGTCGTTCACCATTCACGACAGCCGGGCTGGCTTTGACTTTCTGATCTACCTGCCCACCCCGACTGCTCTGGGCCAAGTGCTGTCTCAAGACCTGGTCCAGACTCTGTCCTCAAAGAACACAAGTGCCTGTAATTAGAGCAGACGATAGTAGCGCGCAGTTCATGCCACAGGGCCCTAGAGAGAGGGGTCATCCAGAGGGGCCGAGGAGGGGTTCAGACACGTGGGTTGAGCCCTGAAGAGTGAGTGGAATGCACCAAGATGAGAGAGGGGGTGTAAGGCAGAACGGCATGAGCAAAGGCCTGGCTGTGTGAATTTCCACTCTCCAGGCACGTGGCCAGGTTCCCACCCCTGGGCCCCAGGAAATGCTGAGGCCACTGACTTGCTTTGTGGTGTCCTCAGTGGGCAGAGCCACAGAAAGAGCCAATGTGGCGAGGGGTGTGTGCCTGGAGGGGGATCAGGCCACCCTGGCAAAGACCTCAAGGAACCCACTCTGACGCCCAGCACATGGCTCCTCCGGCCTCCATGGCAGTCCCCTGCCTCGGGCCCCAGATACCTCTCCTGGCTGGCTGCCCATGAAGAGGTGGCAGAAGAGCTTGCTGGCTGGGCTCCGTGGGTTTCGGGCCATGAAGGCAAACTGGCAGTTGGCGGGGCACCAGGTGGAGTAGAGGATGCGCCTCAGAGCGTGCGCCATCAGCAGCACCTGGCAAGGCAGCAGCATGAGGCCCCCAGCAGACCCACCAGGTGGCCCCAACCCTGCTCGCCAGCCTGCAGGAGTAAAGAGACCTCCCTCCTTCCAGGCCCCCCAGTCTCAAGCCCTTGCCCTTCATGTTGTGGCCCCTGGGCTCAAGATCACCACCCCCATGTTATGCTCAGTCTGCTGGTGGCACAGAGAATGGGAGTGGTGACAGGCACTGGGGTGACACGCCTGGTTCCTGGAGGCGGGTGACTGGGGTTCGAATCCTGGCTCTGCCACTCAGTTGTGACTTGGGCAGGTGAGGGCAATCCTCTGAGTGCCTGTTGTGACGTGTCAGGTAGGGAGGTACCAGGACCTCTCGATAGGGCTGCTGGTGGGGATCAGTGGGACCTCATGTGAGTGGCACAGGACCTGACCCCAGGGCCCTGCAATGCCCAGCTCTGGGGACACCAGGCGTGCCTCAGTGGTAAGTGACTGATGCCCGTGGCTGTGGGGTGCAGTCTGGTGCACAGTTAGTGTCTGCCCCACGCTGGCTCAGCAGGAGGACGAGGCTGCAGCAGGCAGGGAGGAGGGGCAGTGGCCCGCCAGCAGCCCTACCGCGCACCTGGGTGAAGCTGCACGCGGCCCACCAGCGGGGCGGGGCAGGGCAGCTGCCAGAGCCTCAGTGGCTGGATGTTCCTGATGCTCAGGTGGAGCGGTGGCCCCCAGAAGGATTCTGGAGGCCCAGGGGTGGGAAGCTGCTGCCTGAGCTGGCCCTGGGAGGCAGCCCTCAGAGAAAGTCCAAAGGCCCAGAGCTGCTAGGCGGTCGCGCCAGGGGAAGCACGGGGGCCGAGCTAAGGCTAGAGGCCAGGACCTGGGTGGAGGAGAGCCCGTCTGAGGGTGGAGACGCCTGTACCCGTCCAGTCCTCACCCGCACCCCAGGGCCTCCTACCTCACCCTCCCCGCTGTAGATCTTGAGACCCTGCAGGCTGAATTTCAGGATGACGGCACGGCGTCGGGGACAGTCCTGTGTGGAGAAGAGTAGTGGGGACGGGCACCACCTCCCACGCCCCGCTGGCCGCTCAGCCTCAGTGCCGTCTGCCAAAGGTTGTCAGCCCACTCCACCACCCCTGCCAGGGGGTGGGGTCCTGGCTGGTGGAACCCCTGGTGCTGGGGAAGTGTGGAAGGCTCTGGGCAGACCACCCCTAGCCACAGCCACCGCTGACCAGGCTATGACCATCACCCACATCTTCATCTGTGGCTTCCGGCTGTGGGGCCCAGGTCTTAGCAGCCCAGGGCATAAGGGATGGGGCCCTGGAGTCTGGGTGTGTGTCCTGAGCAGCCCGCCACCAATAGGGCCTGTGTCCTGCCCGTTTCTGGGCTTCTCTGCCCATCTCTAACGTGGAGAGGGTGGAGCTGATCTGGTCTTCAAGGCTGTGACTTTCACTAGGGAAGTGCCCTCCCAGGCCACCCACCTTCAGCGCCCACAGCTGCTGCTGCACCAGCCACACGCTCTCCTGGGTGTCCAGGTCGTCCACGGGGAAGGAGCCCACATACTGCTCGGCAGTGGGGCAGAGGGAGTGAGGCGGGGAGTCAGGCCCGTGGCTTCTGACCCCATCCTCCAAATGCCCCCCAAACACACATCTGCTCTGCTGCGCAGGCCATGGACAGACAGAGCTCGATCCTCAAAGCCCAGGCTCTGCTGCTTTCCCAGCAGGTGACCTTGGTCAGGTCACTGAGGCTGTCTGAAGTCCCAGCCCCTCATCAGGGCACACACACACTCCCCAGCCCACGTCAGGGAAGGAAGATGTGGAAATAGGTCCTTTACCCGCAGCACTTCCCACCACCAGCACCTGGACAGGGCAGCCCCACCCACCTGGGCAAACTTGGTGATGCACCTGGGCCGGTGAGGGGCTAGCCCGCAGTCAGAGGCCCTGCGGCCCCCAGCCCCCGACTTCTGCATGGCCCCCAGGGTGTCTGGCTTCCAGCTCCACGGGAGGGGAGGCTGCAAAGGGCAGTGGGGAAGGGCTGCTTTCGAGGCAGGCAAGCCAAAGAGTGCCCCTCACTGGCCATCCATTCACGGGCTTCTTGCGCAGCTGCTGTGTGTGCAGCTGCTGTGTGTGCAGCAGTGCTGAGCAGCACCCTGGCCGTGGAGGAGCCAAGCCCGAAGAAAAAGATGACATCTCTGACTGCCCTCAGGGAGCTTCCATTGTTGTTGGGGAGAAGGACGTTGAACTAAATAGTAAGATTGATCATCACGGGATGGAGCAGGGAGGAGACTGTAAACCGTCAGCTTCAGGGCTGACTGTTGCTGGGAAGCCCTCGCTGAGGAGGGAGGTTTGGGTCAAGATCTGAAGGGTGTGGCAGTACATGCCCAGGGTCCCTCGCTCATTCACTCAGCAAGCACTGAGGAGCCTGGTGCTCTGGGCTGGGTCCTGTCCCCAGGGGGTGGAAGTCAAGGGATGGACCTGTAACCAGCTTGCACAAAGTGCCAGAGGGAAGCGAGGGCCACCTGAGAGGGCACCATCGAAAAGAGAAGGGCAGTGACACCCACAGAAACAGAGTCTGCAAAGGCACAAAGGAAGGGAGGCAGCGGGGCCCGCAGGCCAAACTCAGGCCTTCCAGAACAACAGGCTGGATCCAGTTTGGGATCAGCCTTAGATGCCAGACTAGGGAATTCAGACTCCACCCTGTGGGTAGTGGGGAGCCATAGCAGGTTCTAGGGCAGGAGCTCCGTAGTTCATGAAGATGGCCTTGAGCTGGATGGCCAGAGCTGATGAGGCTAGGGACCTGCTGCAGGACCCCTGCCTCACTCCGCCCAAGCCGGACTCCAGTCCCTTCCTGAGCCCCCCAGCCCCTTGCAGATCATGAAAACCAGAACTCAGCCAGACAGTGCACTGATGCAGACAGGGTGTGGGGAAGGAGAACTGCCCTGGGGGCTAAGGAGCACCCACCCACCACCCGGCCCACCCAGGTTCCAGTCTTTCCTAGGGTCCCTCTCCCACATCCAGTCGTGGAAGAGAGGAGTGGACCCCCCTTAGTTGACTGTCCTCAAGGGCAGGGAACATACCACTTCCCATGAGAGCCCAGGATGCAGCTGGTATTCAATTAATATGGAATTAGACTTGGGATCAGAGAGTCCTGAGTCCAAATCCTGTGGGACTTTGGGCAAGCTGCCTCAACCCTCTGAGCCTGCCTTTCCTCATCTGCAAACCTGGGTCACGTGAGGGGTAGATGAGGACTGAATGGAGGAGCCGAAGCCCAGCCCGACGCCAGCCAGGCTTGGACCTGAACTCAACAGAGCCTGGGGCTCAGGAGGGAGCCTGGGAGGACACTTCTGCTCCCCTCCTTGCCCTTGGCCACACCGACAGGCACCCACCCAGGGTGGGAGGGCCAGGCAGGGGAGGCCTGCCTGGGGACTCTGATTCCCACCACAGAGAGCAGGTATCCATCAGGGCCCTGGGCAGCAAGGACGGGTCCCTGGTGTGCTCCCGCTTAAGGAGGCAGGCTAGGGGGCTTTGGAACTGACTCTTAGCACCAAGAGACTGGGAAGGACCCATCTCTGCCTGCCCATGACCTTTAGCCCCAGGCTCAGGCCAGGGTGGAGGTGCCTGCAGCGGTCCACTTTCAGTGAGCAGCCAGGAGCCAGAAAAAAAACGCTGCACCTGTGCCGTCCCCTGAGGCTTCCTGCGGCCCCTCCTATCCTGGTTGCCCTCCTGCTTTTCTGGGCCATTGCATCCTGATCATTTTCACATCATATTCTTTACCTACTGTACCTTTTATGTTTAAATAAAGCAAAGTTAGATGTGCAACCGGCGCTAAAGCCTCATGACATCGCTTCCAGGTAAGGAGGGGGTGGGAGGGGGCTTCCAGTGAAGCCACCTTTCAACTTCACAGTCACATCCTGGGGCCAGGACTGGCCAGGATGGCGGCCAGTGGGGAGGGAGGAGGCAAAGACCACACAATGCAGAGAAAAGGAGAGGGAAGGTATGGAGGATGGAGGGGTGGCTGGGACAGAGGAAGGAGCAGAGAAGGGCAAGAAAGACAAAGCAAAGGAGAGAAAGGAGAGCTGTGGGGAGGAGGGGGAAGGGCACATTTCCCATTCTGCAGGGCGGTTGCTGCCCCTCCGGCACCAAGTGTGAGATGGGGAGGAGCCGCTCAGGCATCTCACACTCACACGCGCACACAGCTGTGTCCTGGGCTGCAGCAGCCCCTCCCTCCACACCCAGAGCTGCAGCTTTAGGCATCCTCAGTGTCCCAGGTCTGGGGGTGCGGAGGCCAGACCACTGGCCCTCTTAGGGGCCCCACCCCACCCACCATCACCTGATCCTTCCCCATCTCCCCGGTCCTTTTGGAAACTAGAAGTTCCTCCCTCCTTCCTAAGCCTGAGGGGCACTGTGCATTCAGCTCAGGCCTGGAGTTGGGGTGGGGGCTCCCAGGGGACCAGGGAGGGCATAGGGCTCTCTCTAACCAGAAACAGACACCCATTCCAGGCACAAAACACCCACTGATCTCTTTGGGGCAGACCTGTTTTTCTGAAGTTTTACACTGGAATCTGACTGGGCCAGCACCTTCAGAAGGGGACACATTCGGGATGAGGATGGGGCTCTCCTCTGAGGTTTTCCAGGTGGTGCTGCTCAGAGACAGGAGACAGGATGGGATGGCCTGCTTCGTGGGTCTGGTGCAGAAGCCCTCTGGGGCACTGCACCATAGCTTAGTTGTGTCATAGGGAAACCACCAGCCCGCAGACCCTGGGTCAGCAATGGGTGGCTCAGAGGGGGTAAGTCACTTGCCCATGGTCACACAGCTTAAGTGGGAGAGCAGGGAATCAAACCCATGTCTCTGGGGCTGCTTCCTCAGGCCATGGCGGGACTCCTCTCCCACAGATAAGCACGGTGTCTACTGCTGGAGTTTGTTGGGGGGTGCCGCCAATCCACGAGGAGGTGAGCTGGAAGCCGCCTGCTGGGGAACTTGGGTGCTGCCTCCTGGCTGGAGGGTCTGGGGCTGCCCAACACCCACTGCCCAACACATGCCCACCTGCCCTGGGCAACAGCATCAGGGAAACCCAAGGATACCAAGCCAGGGTTCAAGAACTTGGACTGTGGGGTCTAACGAGGTTGGCTGGTGTGACCGTGGGCAAGCCACTTAGGCTCTCAGTCTCCAGGTCATCAGGTGTAGGGTGGGGATCCCCTGGAATAAGGATCTCTGGTCCTTCTTGGAATGTTTCCGCGGCTGACTGTGTGTCAGGCCCCGCCACTGGTGGACGAAGGTCCTCGCCCTCTATGGCACCCAGCTGGGGTGGTGGGGGCGGCAAAGGGGAGCCAAAGTGATGACAGCGGGGTGAGGAGAAGGCGAGGTGCATGCGTGTGCTGGGGGTGCTGCTCCACGGCCTCTCGAAACAGGAGACACCGGAGGCGAAGTGCTGTTCCTGGGGCTGCAGAGCTGAGGGGGGTGAGGGGCGGGCGCGGGGGTGAGGGGCGGGCGCGGGGGTGCGGAGCGCTCCTGTGTGGGCTGCGGATGCCGCCGTGCTACCTTGCTCGGGTCGCTGAGGCGGATGGCCAGGGACAGCCAGGCAGAGTCCCCGGACTCAGGAGCGGGCTGAGCGCGGCTGCAGGGGACGGAGGAGGCTACGGTGGCAGAGAGGGCAGATGACGACGGAGCGGGTGACGGGCGCCCCTTACTCCCGAGACCCTCCCTCGCCCACGCCCGCGGACCGAGCCCCCGCCCCTGCCCCGCTCCCGGCGCTCACTTACCCCCTCTCGAGTCCGGTCCCCGCCGCTCCGGTCCGCGACGCCCACCTCTCCCGCCGCCGCCCCGCGCCCAAGTGCCGGCTCCCCGCCGTCCCCGCCCCCCGTCCGCGCGCCCCCCACGTGGCCGCGGGAACCGACCCCCGGATCACCTGGCGGCTGCGACCTGCCTCGCCCACCAATCGGCGCCCGCGGAGCCCCTCCGTTCGGCCGCAGCGTCCAATCACCAGTCGCGAGGGCCCTGGCACCGCCCACGCCCGGTGCTCCGCCTGGAAGGGCGGGAGCGGCTGGCCCAGAGCTCAGAGGGCGCCTCCTCCCGGGCTGGGGGCGCTGAATCCCCCGCGCCTTACTCACGGGTCCCTCTTCCTGGAGAGCCTCTGCCCCTCCCGTCCCTGGCTGGCTCCTCCGCGTCATCCGAGCGGCGGCTTCCGCACCGCCTCCTCCGGGAAGCCTTCCATGACCACCACTCATGCCTCACTCTCTGCAGAGACCTTGCGACTCCCTCGTTCGCCTGTCATCTCTGTCCTCTTACTGGAAGACAAGTGACACTGGACCGGAGTGTCTACGTCTTCAGAGTGTAGGACCGAGCCTGGCTCGGAGGAGGCGCTCAGGGAGGGTGGTTTGGGCCCAGCCTTTGTGGGTTGAAGGTTCGTCGCGCATCCTCTTCCTTACTTTCTCACTAACCTAGCCACGGGCCCGGCACCGGGAAGTCTGGGAACGAACGTTGCTCACCTCACACGGGCCGTGGTCCTGTCCGTCGGGCCCTTTAGGCTCCAGCCAAAGCGCTGGGACGGCGAGCGCTTCCGTCCCATGAGACCGGACGATGACCCAAGGCTGCTGTGTATCAAACCTGACATCTGCAGAAAACTCCCCCGGAACCTGCCGGTGCACCGCACCGCAGAGAAGCCAGGACACAGGGGTTCAGGGCCAGTGGGGGCGCAGAGGCTGCAGGCCGGGAGCAGGGCACGCTGACAAGTGGGCACAGCGCAGAGGGCCTGAGGCCCCTGGAGTTCCAGGAGAGGCAGGCTTACACCAAGAGGCCGAGCTGGCCACTCCTCTTCAGGGGATCTGGACACCCAGAGGCATCAGTGAGGCACCACGGCCCCAAATCTGGGTGCTTCCTCTTACAAACGTGGGGCCTTGGGCAAACGCCTTCACCACTTTCATCTTTGAGTGCCCCGTGTGGAAAGGAGCGTTACTGACGCCTGACTCACAGCCATATGAGGATTCAAACGAATTCATGTTGGCAAAGTGCGCAGCACAGTACCTGACCCAGTAAGTCAGGAAGTGAGGCACCCAGGAAGTGAGGCACCCAGGAAGTGAGGCACCCAGTAAATATTAGCTGACATTAGACCTTACTTTTATTTTTTGTATGTGACAGTACAGCAAGGGTTTAAGACAGGGTCTGACTGTCACCCAGGCTGGAGTGCAGTGGCGCGATCACGATCACTACTCACTCCTCCATCTCTCAGGCTCAAGCGATCCTCTCCCCGCCACCCCCCGCCCCAGCCACGGAGCAGCTGGGACTACAGGTGAATGCCACCATGCCCAGCTAATTTTTTTGTTTTTTTCGTAGCGATGAGGTCTCACTATATTGCCCAGGCTGAAGCAAAGGTTTTCTTACTTCTATGTGTCAAGTGCTCTGGGAAACACTTCTCCACAGCCATCTGCCAGCCTCAAGCCCAGTGACAAGGGAATAAGTTGGTTCACAAGTCACTCCTATTCTCTGTAAATCGTTTATTAAACTCGGAGTTCACAAAGAATAAAGGGTAATCCCTAGCTTTCTGGGGGGAAAGAAAAGCATGTAAATTTTAAACAGAGGACTCGCCAATTAGCTCCACAATCTGTTTAGAGAATACTCTGAGAAAACAACACAAGGCACAGCTCCGCTAAATGCTGACGGTAACAAGTTTCTGATGCATACAATTCATTCTAATACACGCAATTTTTAAAATAGTGGCAGGAATTTGTTTCAGGTCAAAATGACAAAAGCTTAAATTCAGATAATCAAATAGTCAAAACCAGAGGGAGAATCCTGCTTTTCTCAGAAGGAAACAGAGGGTCAAGATTTGAGTGGCAGGCACTGTGCTAGGTCCCAGGGATACAGAGATTTACAACAGAACACATGAAGTACTGCAAAAACCAGATATAGAGGCAGGACACAGTGGCTCACACCTGTAATCCTAGCACGTTGGGAGCCCGAGGCAGGTGGATCACCTAAGGAGTTCGAGACTAGCCTGGCCAACATGGTGAAACCCCATCTCTACTAAAAATACAAAAATTAGCAGGGCATGGTGGCAGGCACCTGTAATCCCAGCTACTCAAGAGGCTGAGGCAAGAGAACCGCTTGAACCCAGGAGGTGGAGGTTGCAGTTAGCTGAGACTGCATCACTGCACTCCAGCCAGGGCTACAAGTTCGAGACTCCATCTTAAAAAAAAAAAAAAAAAAAAAAAAAAAAAAAAAAAAAAAAAAAAAAAAAAAAAAAAAAAAAAAAAAAAAAAAAAAAAAAAAAAAAACAAACAAAACAAAAAACAAAAAACAAAAAAAAAAACAAAAAAAGGAAAAAAATTCGAGACTCCATCTTAAAAAAAAAAAAAAAAAAAACTAAAAAGAAAAGTATGTTCAAAGTCTGTGATACTGACTACTGACTTCTACTACCAAGAAGGGTCTTTTTGTTGGTCTTCAGTCCAACTCAGAAATATAAGGTTTCAAAACCAAATGCATTTATATATTTGAGTACAGGGGCACAATCTCAGCTCACTGCAACCTCTACCTCCCGGGTTTAAGCAATTCTCCTGCCTCTGCCTCCCAAGTAGCCTATTACATGCACATACCACGACCCCTGGCTAATTTTCATATTTTTTGGTAAAGACAGCCCAGACTAGACTGGTCTCGAACTCCTGACTTCAAGTAACCCACCTTGTCTCGGCCTCCCAGAGTGCTGGGATAACACCGTGCCCGGCCTTCATTTTTATTTATGCATCAAAATAATGTAACTGCCTATCTGAGCTATCCCCAGGTTACCAAATTCATTTGATCTTATTCTAAAAGCACAAAAACACCAAGCTTGTACCACAGATGGAGCCTTGCTAAAGGTACATTTGATGTACAAACTGAAAGGTTTACATCAATGGTAACAAACTGCAGTGGGCGTCAGCCATTTCCTGGGTTCCACTCAGGATTGCAGCATAAAACGGCCACCACTGCTTCATCTGCCAAATGTCTCTGACCTCACATTCACTACAACACAAGCTCTTGGGAGCCACCAGGTGTAAAACTTCAACCACTGGATTAATGACTCACGTGTGCAGGAAGCCCAAAGGACCCATATTAAGCATGGAAGGATGACAAAAAGGCAAGCTGGGTGGGGGTGGGAGTCATGACTGCCGAATATGTTGGTGCACACCGCATGTCATGGTATTTCCTGATGAGTCAATGACAGTGACTAAAGCACACAGGTGTGAGCGTGCTATCATAATCTTCCCTTTTCTCTAAAATCCCAGAATCTGGCGCGGAGTTGGCAGCTGATGAATGTGTGTGGGAAGTTAACACCACATCACTGAGAAGCTGTTCTCCAACAACCGGCCTGCATACCAGAGCCAAGATGGTGAGCTCTCAACAGGCCTCACCCACATCCACTGCCATCTGTTTCCAACACCTTCACGTGTTGATAGTTACTTTCACCTTTGAGCACTATCATTCTGTTCCCTCAGATGTGCCCTGATGGCCATCCCTGCAATTTACCAACACTGTTCCCCAAAAATAAGTGACCTAGAACAGCGATTTTAAAAAACATTCCAAGCCAGGTGCAGTGGCTCATGCCTGTAATCTCAATGTTTTGGGAGGCTGAGGTGGGAGGATCACCTGAGGCCAGGAGTTCCAAACCAGCCCAGGC